CCAAGCTCATATTGAATGCACCCAGACATATCAGTAACGTCTTGCAGTTTTCCCCGCAAAGGATCATCACCACTCAATGCCATGTTTGTCTGAATTCCAATGACCCGAGGATACAGCATCAACTGTACTTCCTCTTCTGCTGCAGGATTAATGGCTTCTGGATCCGCGGGCGCCCCCGCCATTTCGGCATCTCCTTCGGCGGGCATGCGCTGGCTCTCGACAGATCAATACCAGCGCGGCCAGTGAACACTTACTCGAGCAGCTCGTCGGCGCAATTCTCGAGGGACATACTGGCACTCAAATATCTGGCAGCATGAAGTTAACAACTGCAACTAAGCTATCGGCAGGGTCGGCTGAAAATAACTCTCAGTCAACATATTGTGTATCCGAATCTGCTTGAGCCAAATGCGTCGACGGACCTCTGCCTCCCCCATCGCCCTGAGCGCATTTGCGACGAAAGTGCTGCGTGCTATGACATATGTCACTCTCCAGAGTTTTACCATTAATATCCCTCGGGTTTCCCCGACGTCCCTTACCTTTTCCTGATGTATGTCTGCGATTCCGGCCTGCACCTCAAATATCTGCATATTGTGCCCCGGTAAGGGATGCTAGGAATGCTGATATGCCTCTGCCATGCAATCGCCGACGCTTACCTTTACCCTTACCTCGACCCCTGCCTTGTCCCTTGAGTGCTCGTCGTACGATACGCCGTACCTTACGGACTGGCTTCTTCATGAGTCGCCTCCATCTGCGCTTATGTTTCTGGTATCCTAAGAATAACGATTGCGCCCGTTGCTCTTCCGCGAGGTATGTAGGCATATCCGAGTAGTCAAGGGCTGTGGCCTCGTCGTCGGAAGGCGCATCGGTGTCAGTACCAGAGTCGAAGTCGGACTCGGCAGGTTGCCCCGCTGAGCCCATGAGGGCTGCGGCTTGCGCTGGGGACACCGCGTCGGGCGGCCCCCGAAACCCGGCCCAGGAGCCTTGCGACCCCGAAGCCGATCCACCATTCTGAGCCAGTAGCGTAGTGGTCTCAGTTGGTCGTGGGTCGTCTTTCCGGACGCCATTAGCAGGTTGCCCTGCGTTTGCCTCAACGTGGAAGGTCTTGGTTCGGTGACCGTGACTGAGGGTCTCTCAGCAATGCGCGCATGGGACCTCACGCGTTCGAGTAGAGCGTCAAACAGTTGCTGGTCTCTCGGCATGATGGTTTAATTGCTGCAGGAGTTGCTGTGCACGCGATGTCCCCACCCAAAGAGCTCCGACTAAAATAAATGTTATGATTTGGAAGTCGGGGATGTTAAAGCCTGCCGTTTCAGCTTCATAGCGGGCTACTTCGAAGCGCGCCAACGTCTGGTCGATTCGTTCTCCCGCATGGACTCGGATGTCAATGAGAGCTGTGCAAGAGTTGAGTTGGCGTTCCTCTTCTAACTGCTCGAACTTCGTGCTCAAGAAGAACATGATGTAGGTGACGCCGTCGGCATGGCGGCCACCTACGTTAACGCCAAAATGATAACTGCTGGGGGAACTCTGATGGCTATGGTCCGCGCGAGGCCCCCCAAGCCTCGCTGCAGGGCTGAAGCTTGTTGGGAGGGCGTCATGTTGCCCGTGGTCACGTCGATCCAGGCATATACCTCGCGGGCGAATTCGCGAAAAAGGGCCTGACCCGCTGGGTCAAAATGAGGGCCGGTCGTTCTTGCGTCGCGTCCGCCGCGCAAATGTCTCACCGCGCACCCGATAGCGACCCATGCGAGCGCAAAGACAGTAACACCAATCCTACGGCCTCGCAGGTCGTAGTCGGATGCAGTCGGTTTGGGCTCCCGATGTGCGGCTGTGAGTCTGCGCGGGGGTGAAAGCGGCACCCTATGGCATCACATGTTTCCATGCACTATGTCTTCGAAGAAATTTCCACATGGAGTAGGTGGGTGGACTTCAGGAGTGAAGTAGCGCAGGGATGCAGGACGAAAGTGAGAGGCCCCCGCGGAAGCAGAGGCGTCGCTGCAAGCGCCCCTGCTATACTGCGTAGTTATATGAGGAGTAGAGCTAGAGCTGCCCACCATAGGCCAGCTCCGCTACCAAGTCGGAAAAGGATTGGGAGACCCAACCAACAGCTTCGCCTTAGGCGAAGCCCAGCTCCCGCTCTGTTGTACCGTAGCAACGAAAGTCCCAGTAGTAGGGGGCGAGACATCTCAAGCAATCTTTTGGTATCGATGGCGAATAGTATGCCTCCCAATGAGGCGCAGTCACACCTGGGCGGCCAGCCGCTTGAGCCGACGCGGCCGCGGGCACACGCTCGCTTCCGCTCCATGTGTCCCCAGCTCACTGTAGAGTGGGGAAGCCAAAATCATTAATGTTACTAGGGTTTGGGCCCCATGTCGGCCTTCTGGGGGAGCTCTAATCCGCAACCCCCCCTCCTGTGATCGATCTCCTCCGACATGGCCCCAAGAGCGCCCCCAAGGCTCCCAAGGGTGTCCCAGGAGGGCCCCAAGAGGTGGAGCCCCAAGAGGCCCACAAGAGGCCCTGAGGATGCCCCCAAGAGGCTCCCAAGAGACCCCCAAGAGACTTCCAAGAGGCCCCAAGGGGCCCCCCACAGGCACCCCAGACGCTACAAGAGGCCTCGGCGACAATGCCAAAATCGCTGATTTGACTGAGGTTGTGGCCACATGTTGGCCTCCTGGGAGGGGCACTGCTTCAGATGACTCCCAGAGCGCTTGGGAGAGCCAAAGATGATTTCCAAGATGGCTCAAGATATCCCAGGATGCCTCAAGTTGGCGCCCACGATGCTCCAAAAGGCCACAAGACCGCTCCAAGACGGCTCCAAGTGGCCAAAGAGCTCCCCCAGGAGACCCCGAAGAGGCCAAAATCCTTCCAAAGCCATGGGGAAATCAATGTGTTTAGCTTTCCCGCCGAGGCCTCAAGATGGTTCCAAGATGGCCCAAGAGGGCTCCAAGAGCGCTCCCAAGGCTCCCAAGAGCGTTTCAAGAGGGCCCCAAGAGGCGTCCAGGAGGCCCCAGGAAGCCCCAACAGGCGCCGAAGAGGCCTCAAGAGGCTCCTATGAGATCCCCAAGAGGCCCCACGAAGCTTTCCGAAGCACCCAAGACGCTCTAAGAGGCGTCCGAGACCGCCAAGAGGCCCCCAAGACGCTCCAAGAAGCCTCCACTGGGTGACCCTTCCTCTGCGTGCTGCCTGCTTCCCTGATCGAGGCAATTCCTCGGGGCATCGTTTCTGGATGGGCTGGTGGGAATTTTTTGGCGTCGCAACCGCAGGCGAGAGCGCCAACGGCGAGTAAGGTCCGAGCGGGCCGCGCAAGAGCCTAATTGCCCAACGCCGACGGGCCGGCGACCTAAGCAGCACCAAAGCGGGCGGGCCGGCGTGAGGGGGGGCGCGGGCTGTAGCTGCCAGGCACCAGGCCCAGGAGCGCGCACAGGCACGATTAGCCAACCGCTGGTGGGGATTCCTTTTTTGGTCGCAGCCGCAGGTGAGAGCGCAAGCGGCGAGTCGTAAGTCCAGGGCGCGGGCCTACGAATTAAAACAGGAGCAAGCTAGAGCGGCGTAACCTAAACAACTAGCTGGCTGGTGGGGATTCATTTTTGGTCGCGTCCGCAAGCGAAGGCGCAAGCGGAGTCAGAAGCGCTACGGGTCACGACAGCGGCCTAATTAGCAGCTAGACGCGCCGCAAGCAGGCCGGCCCACTCATACAGCAGCGGCTGACTGCGCGGGAGGAGCTGCAGGCTGGGGGCGCCCAGGGTGCTCGAGCACTTGCAACACGGCAAAATGCTGGTGAATTCAAGAGGTGCCGAGTGGCAAAACCCGAGGGAGCATGAGGACGATAGCTGTGGGCGGCGCGTCCAGCATGCACTGCTGGTGGGGATTCGCGAAGCGTCAACACTTCCTCTTTCACACCACACATCCTGCACTCGTCCGTGTGCGACGCATTGTACACTGTGCCTTCGACGATCCATCTGCGCCATCTGCACTTCCACTGCAGCTCGATCGCAAATAGCACTTCCATCTGCTGTTCGCGCTTAGGGGATCCCCTGCGCCGCCGACCAAAAAGGTAGGAACAGATTTGTGGCCACATTGCAGCGAGTGAGAACTCACCTATGCAGTCCTCCGTGGCGGAGCCTCTGCTGCTTTTCTGCAGGGGCGGACACACCTCCTGCTGTCATTCGAACCCGCACGGGCAGGGCTCGCACGTGGTTGCGGATATACTACTGGGTGGAACCCGCTCCCGCTGGCATGACGAGCAGACGTGTGGCCATCCTGGAAGCACCTTGAGGAAACGTCAAAAACACACTTCGCGAACCAAGTGTGGAGCACCACGCGTGCTGAACTTTGTGCGCACGTGTGGAACCTCACATGTGCTGGATCCTGTATATTGTTGAAACCTGCGTGTGTATGTGCGCGTGGATCCCCCATGCACTGCTTGCGGATCCTTCCGCGACCAAAAAACGTAACACACAGGGCCAGTGAGGCGGGAAGCCATGGTGGCCCGCAGGAAGCCACGACCTAGGGATCGAAACACGCATTGGAAATTGCGCCATGCAAGAGTGCAAGTACGCACCTTGAGAAGTGCAAGCACTGTCAGCAGAAAAGCACCTACATACAAATCAAGAGCTCGATCGATCTTAAAGGAAACGTTTGCCCCACTGCTCGTAGTTTCGTGAAGGGCCAAATCGGCCTTTGCACAAGAAGAAGAACAACTCTCTCAAACACAATTTCACAGAGAGGGCACGATCACATAATTAGTGAACGTGACCAATCACACAGAAAAGCCGAGCCCGCACCAGGAACCAAAGCTGCCATACTGGCTTCCGTCCGCGAATGATAATGACAGGCGCCCCTCTGCAGAACCCAAAACCCGCCTCCCCACTCGGGCAGCCCAAGGTGCTGCATCGGGGACTCCACACCTCGTCCTCTCAATCCTCCAACATGATCCCCAATCATCCTTATCATCGTCATCATCAGCCTCTCTTCCTCCTCAACTCACACTGCCGCAAGCGGTCCTGGCCAGGAGCGAGGCTACCCGCGACCAGTTGTTGAGGCCATACTTCATGACCGCCGCCTGATGGCCGGACAATGTCGCTGGCACGGCCACTGCTCAGCAGACAACGGCGGCCTTGCATGGCCTCACGCATGCTGGACTGATCAGTAAACGCATGCGCGGACACCGACACAGGCACGGATACTCCGAAGCAAAGAGCAAAGGCAGCGCATTACAGCCACGTGTCCTACCTGGCTGGGCCGCCCCAGCGGTATGGACAGGGCACCTTAGCGATCGCTGCAGGCGTCCTTGCCGAAGCACTCCATGGTCACATACCCTGCAAGATCCTAGCTGGAGGATGGACCGTCGGACCCTGTGCAAGAAAGAATGTGATACCATTCGGCTGCACGCGAAGGTCACCCTGCGCAGCAAGCACAACCCAACACGGACGCCGCCACCGACTCGGACTAGAGATCCTGAAGGACACCTGCTCAGCCTGCGAGCGAGAGCCTCGCACTTCCCGACGGGCCTTGCGCTCGGGCGCGCGACAAGTGCTGCCTCCTGGGCCGTGCCAGTGCTGACCCCACGGCCTCGCGGAGGCGCGGGCCCGACTGCCGCCGGTCTGCGGAGCCCGCGAGACACGTCCCCGCCTCTGCCTTGTTGGGTGTGGCCTCCTTTGCCCGATCACCTCCTGCACGCCGTCAAGAGAGCGAGGGGGAGGGAGGAGCGAGGGGACGGAGAGCGGGTGGGCAGGAGGGACCAGGAGAAGGAACGAGGGGGAGGGAGGGAACAGGGAGGGAAAAAAGGAACCGGGAGAAGTCGCCATGGAGGGGAAGACGCGGGCAGAGAGAGCAAGGGATAGCGATGAAGGGGCAAAAGAAAGGGAGGAAGGGGCAGAAGGATGGCTGGTGAGGGCGCGACACAACGATTCCGTGGGTGATCAATGCACAAACAGCGACGACATGCTGCGCGTCATGCTCTTCGCGTAGGTCTGCCCTGATATCCTGGTATCGAGGAAGAATCGAAACAGGAGTTCTCGCATGGTTTCGGGGCCCCAGGAGCCCACCGGATCGATGCAGCCCGAAAGTTTAAGCGCATGGATGCGGTCGAAAGGTCAGGTCCTGCCATGGTGACGACACTATGTTATATTGCAAAAGTCGGATGGCGGGGGCTGGTTCGCAAGCCGTCTCAGGTGGAAAAGGAAAACCTAAGAGTGCGAGCGAAACCAATATGGAAGAGACTTGCATATATGGGCCCTCCAAGCAGAACCATCCTGGACGACCAACTGCGTGATACTGGGATAAGCAGCGACCAGCTGCAAGCAGCGTGCGGAAGTGTGACAAAGGGAAGTTCCTTGAGGACCTCATCCTCGGAGTTCTTCCAGACGCCTCCCTTGATAAGAATGCGCATCCTTCACCAACCAGGAGCGTTCTTGATGTTACGGTCGACCTCCCAACATGGTCAGCTGTCGCGCTTCGAATTAGAGCCCAAAAGCAGCGTCGATTGTGATCGAGGACGAGGGTCGGAGAGATATCGTTTCCAGCCACCGTGCGGAATGGCCAGGGAAGCGAAGGATGATAGAAAGCGACGCAAATGGAGACAGCCTAAACTAGGGTTAGGTGACGTTATATCGGGTGAGACACCGAAGCGAAGAGCTTGTATGTTGTACGTACTGTTCATGTGATGCACCCTTTTGCAACACATGGAAGCGAGGAATCGACGATGGTTTCTCAAAGGTGAGGCACGAACAGCGCCAAGAGCACGGAGCACAGCACCAGAGCTGCTCTCGGAAGGCTCGAGAGGGAATCGGCACAAGATCAGCCCCGTTGGTTGCCATGATACCCTGTCCAGTGGCATACACGCCAACGAAAAATCTCTCCAGCCCACTGGAACGGAGACGTGTTAGAAATGGCTGGCATGGAAAGACCCGCGCCGTCCCCCTCAGCGGGCACGAGATCACTGGCTTGTCCAGTTTGGGAGACATCATGCGACCGCCATGTACATCTTACCAAAATGATTGTGTACATATGTGAATTCATACATACATCCATTCAGGGATTTATCTATACATTTAAATATGCATATGCATATGCATACGCGCATACATATGCATATAAATGTACATATATACATGTGAACATTCAGATGCGTACACCTATACTGTCATAAACATATGCATATCCATGTACATATACATGTACACATACATACACGTATACATGTACATAGACGTGTACATACCCATAGTGCATACCCATATACATATACTTATACGTGTACACATACACATCCACATCCACATACGTGTACACACGCATACAAATGTACAGGCACATAACCAAATACATGTACTGGTACACAACCATATACATATGCATGTGCATGTGCATACGCATATACAAATACCCATGCATATGCATATGCTCATGCAGAAACATATACTCATATACACTTGCATTTATGCAAACACACATATGTATATAAATGTATACAAGTATGCATGGATATATGCATAGGAATATACAAACACATTTACGTATACAAATTCATATCCGTGTCCAAACACATATACTTATACATAAGCATAATGATTCATATAAATATATGAAAATTCATACATACACCTACATATTCGTATAGCTATGCACCTACAACTATATATATAGTTGAAACATATACATATTTGCATACATACATAAACAAGTACATGTGATATACCAATGAAAACAAACATACGCATTACAATACAATAGAATATATTGGACAAATATATGTCGTCATGTGCCTCGTCGCTTGCCTTCCTTATATGTCGATGCATCTGCCGTTGTATGTGTATATCATACGTATATATCATTATCTTTCCTTTTCTATCACTGTCCCTTTTCTCTTGCCCGTTTTCCATACACGAGTACAAATGTCATCCACATGTTGACTATGTCGCCTCATTTGTTTATTCCTGAAATGTGGATGTCGGAACAATGTGTATATCGGAGGTTGGGGGTGAGTCCGACGTGAAACGGAGACCCCTCCTACCGGGAGATCGATTTCGGTTTTGGGTTCGGGTCACGTGTGCCGTGCGTGCGTGCGGGCGGGCGAAGCGAACCTGCGTGGGCGGGCGAGAGGAAATTCTCCTGTGGCTGGACCACGGCCAGACCAAATGATTCCCCCCTGGAAGCGGCAACCGGTGGCCCGCGCTGTCCCGCTGGTGTCCCGCTGGTGTCCCGCCAGTGTCCCGCTGGTGCCCCAATTCAAATCGTCATGCCAATCCATAGCAAATCCAAATGCAAATCGTACGGAGCCGTGGGTATCGACATGGAGATCCATAGCAAATCCATTTGCACATCGTACGGCGCCGTGGGTTACGTACTTAAAAATTCGGCGCCTGCGGCGAAGTTCGTCTAGATGCAAGCCGACATGCAGATCGAAAAGCAAATCGGCACGCACATCGTTAAGCAAATGCAAATGCAAATCGAAAGGCACATCGACAGCATCTTCCACACGAACCGCGATTCCGCGAGTGACGACTTGGCCAGAGACCAGTTGGATAATCTCGTCGACCTGCTCGAGCACGAGGAACTGTTGGTTGTGGACGAGGTGTCCACGTGCGGGGCCGCCTCTTCCGAGATCGTCAGCAGGCGCATGCAGCAGGTGGCGCGCGCGCTGTGGCGCAGACGGCGTCGCTGCCAACCTCCAGAAGAAATGGGCCCCTTCGGCAGCATCGGCGTCGTTCTCATGGATGATTTCGCACAGCTGCCGCCTGCGCCGGCCACCAGCTTTCTCCCGGGCATGCCTCGCGCGGGCGCGGACGGCCCGACTATTCGAGCCGCGGCGCTGGCCGGCCAGAAGAGTTTCACCGAAATTGAGGACGTCTTACGTTTGCGTCGTATTCACCGCCAGAAGGGTATCGACGCATTCAAAGAACGACTATGAGACTCAGAGATGCGGCGATCACAACGGAGGATTACGCTCTGTGGGAGGCCAACGAGGTGGACACGATGAATGGCTCGGAGCTTTAGTCTGCCAACCCGTGCGCGTGGCAGGGCGGTGAGTCTCTCGTCCGCGAGGGGTTGGTTCTCGCGCCAGAGAACCAAGCTGTCGGGAAGATCAACGGTCCGCAATGGGCAGCCAGAGCACCCCTTCACGGCGCGCCAGGATTTGCCAGCGCGGGGAGCGTCGTCGCGAGGACAGAGGCACGACACAACGACCCGCGCGGATTACACAGGAGTGCTGATGACTTCCGACAACTCCGCGGGGCACTCCGCCCGCGCGTGGGAGCGCGGGTGATGTTGACGCAAAATTTTATATGAGGCGCCCCCACTGTGCCCCTCGGGCGCATGAAAGGGGCACGGGGAGTGGTGGTCGCCACTGTGCACGCCTCCCCAGAGGAGCAGCGAACTGGCCAGAGTACCTTCGCAGGGGTCGGCCATCCCAGCTCCACCCTCGGAGCGTTTCCCCGGGAGGGGCCCGCTTGCCCAGTTCCTGACTTCGCGTTCGCGCATTTCCCCGCTCACATGGGCCCCGCTCGCTTCGACAATCCCCCAAGGACCTGGGCACCAGTCCCCCGCGCAGAGGTGCGGCACAAGGCCTTGCAGTCGATGACTCGCGCCGGCATACCCTTGCGCTCGGCACGGGCGCTCGCCACCCACAAGTCGCAGGGCATCGCGGCGCACGAGGGCTGCATCGTGTCCTTCGATGGATGTCGAGGACGCAACCCAGCGGGCAAGCTCGGGATGGCCTTCGTCGCATGGACCCGCGAGAGCAGGGCAGACGCCACGTTTGCCAGACTGCTCGCGCGGAGAGGCACTTCCCCCGATGCGTTGCTGGCTGAGCACGAGCAACACTTACGGGCCACCACGCTCGCAAAGGAAGGGCGCGAACCTAATGATGCTGAGCTGGCAGATCTGCGGGCGGTGCTGTCCGCGGTGGGAGCGGCGCCCATCAGCGACAGCGAATCCTGGCACTGCGAGGAGCAATCGGGCCGCAAGGCCACAGGCCCGCGGAGCATCGCGGCCTCGTTCCGCGCACAGAAACCGAAGAAGAAGAAGAAGAAGAACGAGGGCCAGGCTTTGCCAGCCCGCGGGAAGAGCGGCCCCGGCGGCAAGACCTTGTCGACACAGACGGGTACTCTGGGACACGCGGCTTCGGAGGCGGAGGCCGCGGCTGAGGCCTTTTCCTCGGCGACCATGATCGACATGGGCTTCAACGAGGTCGACATCACCCACGCGTTGGAGCAGACGTCGTTCGATTTCCGGCAAGCGCTGGTGCTCCTGCTCAACGGCCTGGACGCGCAGCGCCACCAAGTGCGACGCACTCGAACGGTCCCACCGCCATTGTGCCAAGACGGTCCGGGCTCTGGACTGCGACATGTTGGGGGGTGGCGAAGTGCTGACGCAGTACTCGCAGCGCACGCGCAATGAGCTGCTGTTCGACGCGCAGGTGCGGGACCTGGGACAGTGCGCGGGCCGAACCACGGGTGCGTGCTTCTGGCTATGCCTCCCAGCAGGCCTGGCCAAACGCAGGCCAGACGTTTTGACCCAGGCCTTGCCCGGCAACTTTCCAGCCCATCGAGCGGCAGGCCAACTGACAGCACGGGGCGTGCAGTGGTGTGTCGACGCTGGCGTGCGTCACCCCCCCGTTGAGTGGTGGCGGAAGCTCTCCGGACCGGGTTATGCGGCGGCGAAGCCGCCGTGCTGCTCAGAGCCGACATGAAGAACATAATACACCCGGCCTTTGCTGGCCTGGATGTCCGGGGCCCCGTGCGCACCGAGGCGCCGTGCACTCGCTGGGTACAGGAGCTGGCATCTAAAGAGTACGCGGACTAGTTGGTCGCGATGTCGGCCGCCTTGGAGTTCGGCATCCGAATAACTGTCATCCCTTTTACTCCACCGACGGCACTGGCGCAGTGGATGACCCCGTCTTCTGGGCCAGAAAACGCCACCGTCGTTGTTCGCATGGGCAACAATGATTTGCCTTATGTTTATCTGTCGCGGGAATCGCGATGGCGCCGGACGCCCGCACCAGACTGCGCCGGTGCGTCGCAGCTCCGCCTCACCTCGCCGCACGCGGCACACACGTACGCTGCCCGGCGCTCGGCCAGCAGCGTGCGCCAAGCTTTGCTAGCGCTTCTGCGTCGACCATTTCCGTCGCCTGTGCGACGCCGCGGGGCAACCGCAGCCGGCCCACCCCCGCCGCCTGCACGTTCGGATGCTCGACCGCGCGGGGCCAGAAAAGCAGCCAGCGTGCGCGATCCCCAAAAGGCTCCCAAGAGGCCCCCAAGAGGCCCCCAAGAGCCCCCCAAGAGGCCCCCAAGAGGCCATAAAGACGCGCCCAAACGGCTCCACAAGCCCGTGCAAAATGAGCGAAATATTTGTTATTTCCTTGGTTCCGGGCATGATCCGTGGTACACCTTCACGCCGGTTTCGATCTCGGGACCCCTCCTTATCAGGAAATCCATTTCACGT